GGCGCGCCCGCGCCCGCGCCCCGCGCGGAGGACCTCAGCCTGGGAGTGGTGAGTGCGCGGCCGGCACGCGGGGTCCCGCGGGCCGGGAGGACCCCGACAGTGCCCCTCGGCGCCTGCGGGAGCGCGGGGAGCCCTGGACCCATTTCCTGGGCGGAAAGCTGAGGCTGGGGCGCAGGCTGAGCGCCGGACGCGCGCGCACCCGGGTCTGGGAAAGCGGCGCCGTGTACCTTCCCGGCACCGCGGCGCTCGCTGCGCGCCGCAGCCGCGGGAGGCAGCGGAGGCTGGAGCTGCCCGGCCGAGCCCTTGCCCGCGGCTCGGAGCGGCCCCGAAGGGGGACCCCAGGCGAGTGGGACGGCCGTCGCAGCCGCCGGGAGCAGCGCGCCCCGCGTGCGTTCCCAGTGGGAGTGGCGGGGGGGGGAGGGGCGCGCACCCACCACCGAGGAAAGGTCGGGGCTGCGGAGTGGGGACGCCCCGGAAAGCCGGCGGTTGTCGAGTTAGCTCCGTGTGGGGTGTCGGGGAGCGAGAGAACCGGCCCCCAGGCCCCATTGGACGTGGATCTTGGCCCTGTCCCCGGTCCCCTTCCGCCGCCAGCCTTGCTCTGCCTCCCCCTTGGCCCTGTCCGAGCTTGATGGGGTTCCCCTCCCATTCCCAGACTCGGATGCAGCCCCACCGCCGTCCCCAGCGCCCCCTTCCGGAACGCCAGCTGTGCCCCTGCCTTGGGAGCCGTCCTGGGGCCGGCGGCAGCGCCCTCCTCCCACAGCCCTCCCCCTAGTCACACTCCTCTGGACCTGGAACCTGGAGATCAGACTTTCTGGGTCTCGCCGCCCCCTGGTTGGCGAGGCCAGGCGAAGGCGCGAGGGGCCGTCGGATTTTTATTTGGGGGCTTCCGCCCCTGCCGCGGCCCCTCACTCCGCGGAGAGACGCGGGGATCCGGGCCAGGGGCCGCGCCCTCCCCACCCCCGCACACGGCCCACATCCACCAGCGCATAAAGGGCTGTCCTAGAGGGGTGCTGGCCGAGCCCCTCTCCCAGCGCCGTAGGCGCTTGGGAGCTGCAGGTGGATTTCAGGCAGGCGGGCGGAGGCATTTGTTGGGGGGGGGGGGGGGGGAGGCATCCGCAGCCCTGTACAGTTGGCAGGACTTGGCCACAGGTCCTGGCTCAGAAACAGGCTGGGGAGCGCCCCCGCCCAGCTGCCCCAGCCCTCGCAGCCATCTGGGACAGCGCAGCCACCGGTCCCGGCTGCCGGCTGCCGGACGCCTGAGGGACCCCACGGTGGGCTTCCTCCCTGCCAAACTGCCTCTGAGATTGGGGTGCTCCTTTGTAGCTGGGGGTTTCCTGGATCCCCTCCCCCCTCGGGGCGCATGACCTGGGGGGCAGCCTGTTGCCAGGTCGAGGCGGAGTGAGGGTAGAACCCAGGCTTCCAGTTCCTAGCTCAGAGAGACCCTGCTGGGAAGGCTGGGAGTTCTGGTCCGGCCAAGTTGGTTTGTCAGACCCGGGGCGGTTCTGAAGTTTTTCTCTGCCTGCCCAGGGACGGCCGGTGGTGCACACTCCTGGCCAGCTAGAGCCTGCGCACCCCCTCTTCTGGCTGCCGGGGTTCCCGAGACCGCCCCCCCTCCCCCACAGCGGGTGGGCAGTCACTGGGCCGAACTGTGGAATGCCGTTGTGGGGGCGTGGGGGGTGGGGAATGTGGCTCTTTCGCCTGGAACCCCAAAGCCAGCAGGGCCCTGGCATCTGGCCCAGTGGGTAAATAGCCGAGGGTTCTGCGCCTGACACTTTTTTAAGGCTCCCACCCGGGGAAGGCCAGGACCCGCCCGCCTGGTGGAGCAGCCTTCCAGCTTTCTGCCCCGTTCGTGGGTGGAGGGCGGTCTCTGGTGGCCTTCTGGGGAATGACACCTCGGAGCCGCAGCCCCAGAGGTGCGGGAAGTCTTGGAAACGGCAGGATTTATGGGGAGGAGGGGGACTCCATCCCGCCCCCTCTGTAGACGCCCGGGTCCGCTGACTCTGGATATTCAGATCTGGGGCTGCCAGTGAGGAGAAGGGCCTCTTTGTAAGTGTGACCCAGCTTCTGCCAGACAGAGTCGAGCCCAGCGGGTCTGGAGCACTGGCTGGTCGCTGGGAGAGGCTGGCCCGGCCCACCCCCAGCTTCAGAGTGAGGACAAAGCCCTGCATTGAGTCCCCTGCGCCCCGCCAAGGGTGGGCTTTCAGGCCGTGCACAGTGGGACGAAAGAGTGTGCTGTGCTCTCCTGGGGTCCGCCGAGCTTTTCATTACTGTGTTTCCAAGTAGGTAACACCCGTAGCGAGACATTCAGGCCATACAGAGGGTCCGAGGGAGAAATTCCCTCTCCCCCGTCCTCCCCTCATCTCCTAAGGATCCTTCTGGAGGTCGTCTGGGCACTCGCAAGGACTTGGGGACCTGGGCCCCTTATTTGTATGGATGACAGCCTCCTGCCCACCGTTGCGTGCCCGGCTGCTTTCACTTGGAAGCCTGTCCTGGGGAATGTTCCGTATTGGCACGTCGGGATCTGCCCGGTTCTCTGTGCTCTCCCCAGCTTGCTCCAGCGCGGACGTCACATCCTTCAGCCGGCCCTGGGCACAGACCTGCGGCTGTTGCCGACGTTCTTGCTAAGCCAGAGGCAGTGCCAGAACCTCCCGGTTACTGCAGCGTGACGGGGGGGGGGGGGGGGGCCACCCAGGCCCTGGAGCAGGGGGGCCAGTGACAGGCGTGGACATCACACATTGAGCGTCGGCAGATTTGCCAACCGGTCTTCTGAAGTTTGTGCCCAGGTGCTCGGGTTTCTACCTCCAGCAACCACACAGCATCTCAGGGTATCGCGTGATCTTTGACAGACAGGTGACGGGTTTGCGGCTGAGGTTGTATGTGAGGATGGCCGGGAGCAAGCAAGGCCCGTGGCCCGAGAGGCCCCAGAGGGTGAAGGGACCGGCAGGACGTGGCCGGACGATGGCAGTGGTGGATGTGAGCCGGGACCACAGAGCGTGCTCAAGCCCCGTGTCCCCCTCCTGAGCCGGGGAAAGATTGTGGCAGGGGTGACAGTCACCCTTGGCCTCTGGGTCCCTGCTCCTCAGTGCCAGCACCCAAGGGAGCCCACGGGCCCTGCGTGCGCTCAGGACTGAGGTCACAGACATGGATGGCGCCCCGCAGCTGCAGCCTGGGACTGCCCGCCCTCCGCCAGGACAGACAGCAGGAAATGGTTAACCCCTGCGTGATTTTGCGCTGAGCCTTCCAGAGGGAAGACTCCAGGGGCCCCCTCCCAGCATACCTGTGGGGGGTTAGATGTGAATGTGAAGGTCCTAAGGTCCACCCAGCACCCCCCAGGCCCCCAGCCCTAAGGCGTGCTGTCCCCTGGGAGTTCCGGCCCTGGAGCACTCCTGGCCTCGGGTGGAGCACTCCTGGCCTCGGGGCTGACGGCCAGTCTGAAAGAAGTCTTTGTGTGCTTCTGTGGCGGGAGCCTGGGCAGGGCTGTGCCGGACGCCTGTGGACTGAGCCCTGGGAGTGTGGAGCCCGACCACACCGCCAGCATCTGGCCTGGGGGCTTAGGATGTGTGTCCCCCTCACGCAGGCCCTTGAGGCAGACCGGGGTCTGGATCCAGCCCGCGGGCCTCCGTCTCCAGTCTGTGAAACCGGGCCACTGGGACCTTCACTGGGTGAGGCCTCTGGATTGCTCCCAGCGGTGGGAAGTCAGCTGCCTTCCCGTCCTGAGGGGGAGGGAGCAGTGGAGAGGATTTGGGGTTTGGCAGGCGGCTGGTGCAGTGCCTTCCGAGGGTGCTTCGAGCATCTGTGGTTTTTGCCTATTGACGGTGATGGGTTTCCGGTGCGCAGGGTCTGTGCGTCGCTCGTGGAGGGCGAGGGGTCTGTCCCTCATGAGCTGAGAGCCTGTGGGGTCTCCCGAGCACCGTCGGCTCTCCGCAGGGGCGGGACAGAGTGACAGAGCGGTCTGGCAGGGTGCACAGCCTCGCTCTCCCCACCCCCTGCCCAGAATCAGCTTGCACTGCTGACCGGCTTCCAGCCTCTGCGTGCCTGCCTCCTGTACGCCTTTCTCTGTGCTTCTCTACGGAACTTCCCGGCTGCCTCCTGCCCCAGGGCCTTTGTGTGTGCCACGCCCACCTCTGTGAACTCTTCTAGGGCTCGTCCCCTGACCAGCTCCTCATTTCTCAGGTCTCAGCCTACTGTCACCCACCAGGGACGTCTTCTCTGACAACCATTTAGTTGGCCCCTGTACCCTGTCACTCACGTCCCCTCATAGCAGAGAGGTTACGGGCATAGGCTCTGGGCTCCCGTCCCCGCCCTGCCCCATGCCGGCTGGCTGCGTGACTGTGGGTGCCTGTCCTAACCTCTCTCTGGCTCCGTGTCCCCGTCTGTGAAGCGGGGATGACGGTGCTCACCCATAAGATTAATGCAGCAGGTACTTACTTCGTGGCTACTGTGTGCCCAGCACGAACACCACAGACGATGCCCCCCACCCCCGTCCTCGGGCAGTGCTGCCCTGAGGGGCGTCGTAAGCATGAAGCGGGTTAGTGACTGGAAAGGCACTCAGCAGTTGTCCGCTGTTAGGACCGCATCTGGTAACTGCTGTCATGCGTGAAGTCACTTGTTCCCACGTCCATTTGTGTATCGTTACTGTTCCCCAGAACCCCGTCCGCTTCTGGAGCCCCGTCTGCGGGGAGGGCTCTCTCGGGTCTCCCCTGTCCCCAGAGCGCCTGGCACAGTGAGTGCTCATTCTGGGTGTGTCAGGGGGATGGACAGGCTGTCCCGGGGCGGGGGGGGGGGGGAGGCCCAGGAGCGTCCCCCGGGGGAAGACACAGGGGCCGGGGGGGATCTCCGCGGCCACCCACCGCCCCTCCCGGAGCAAGCCGGGCACCAGCTCATTTCCCTCCAAGGGGCAGAGCGAGGCAGGCGGAGACTGATGCCAGACGGCGGCTCTGCCACTGGCTTCAGGTGCGACCGAGGGCCCAGTTTCCTCAGCTGTGAGCGGAGGTGGTGGCCGCACGCTGCCCCAACCCGGGTGCCGAGCGAAGGTACAGAGCGTGGGCGGGGAGCCAGCACCTCCCGGGCACAGCCGGGCTCTGCTGGACTTACCGTTGGTTATCTGGGCCCTGGGGGGACTCTAAAGCCACTGCCTGCCAGCCTCCACGTCCCCTGAGCCACGGCACCGTGGCCGAGGTCTCACTGGCTGCGCTCTGCCGCGGCCCCTCTACAGCCTTTGAGCCTCGGTTTACTCATCTGTACAGAGGGGCTCATGCTCTCCGTGCCCCCCAACAAGGCTGGGGGGGGGATCCAGTCACAGACGGACCGTGCGGGGGGAAGGGCCCACGGGTCAGCCACCCACCACCGTGGTCCCCGGCACATGGTGGCCCCGCCAGGCTCCAGGGGGTAGTGTGAGCCCTGGTCATCGCAGTCTTTAGGCCCCCACTTGCCCCCTATAAGTGAGGACAACAGCGGCCACGCCGTGGGACCGTGGAGAGGACTACCTGAGACCCTGCACACAGTGAGTGCTGCTTGTCTGCCAGCCTGGTGCAGCCCAGCACCGTCCCTCCTTCCCTCCGTCCGTCCCTCCGCCCGTCAGTCCCCCCCCCCCCCCCGTGGGGCTGTGGCTGCCGGTTCCCACCTGCCCACCTGCCGGGGGCCCTCACCTGCTGGGGCCACTCTGGGGCCAGGGCTGTGCCTCCCCGGGAATCCAAGACTTGGGAGGGGAGTGGGACCTGTTATCCCAGTAGACGGAGGCATGTGGTATCGCCCGTGACAAGCGCACGGGGAAAGATAAAAAGCGGAGAGGCCTGGGGCCGCTCTAGAGCCTGGAAGCACCGTGTCCCGCTAGTGCCTTGCACGGGGCACCGCGGCTCCGGCCTCAGTTTCCCCACGGGCGTTAATGGCCCAGTTCAGGGATCCCCGGGGGGAGGAAAGGCACATCTCCTTGGCTGTTGGGGACTCTCCACGGCGGGACGGTGGCTGCGAGGTTGGGACGTCCCTGCTCTTCCCCTCTCCTCCCCTCCCCTCCCCTCCCTTCCCCTCTCCTCCCCACGGCCTTCTGGAAGGTTCACCTCCGCTGCTGCAGCCTGGTTGCCCTGGAGACGCGGTCGCCTGACGACGGCGCGGGATGGGCGCGCAGGGAGGGGCAGCCGGGCTCCGTTCAGTAGTGATGGGGAGGGGGCGCGGGGGGGGGGAAGCACGC